ATTATATTATGAATTCTGCAATTTTGGATTAATATAAAACAAGAATGAAATTTTTCTTATTTATTATAAGTTTCTGGTACATATTCATGTTTGGCCACTATATATTGGAACCACTACAACACATACATTGAAAATCTTCATTCATATGTTTAAAGTTTATTTTTATTTCGAATAATAAAATTAAAGCTTTCCAAATGCCGCCCAATTTATTCTTACTTTTCTGTTCATTAATGACTTGACAAAGACTCTCTTTGATAAACAAATTTAAAGTAACGGGATTTGTAACAATTATTATTTAATTATTGTACCTTCTGTTTCTTTAATTAGTATTTTTAAACCTTTTAAAAAATGTATTGTTTTGCTTCCTAACAGATTTCGGGCGGCTATTAATGGTTTAAATAATAAAACACGCGCACCTTTCTGGGTAAATATCTTACAGTAGATGTGGGGCGAACATCGATAATGGACGTTTAGCCTCCTCGGATTTAGGAATTCTTTATGAAAGTGACATGTTCGGACATATAAAACTGTCATAAAATATGTACGAGTGTTCTTTGAGATTCCCACATCTCCTGAATATTTTACGCAGTCACCTCCTCGGTAACATTTTATGACAATATTTTAAAATTTAATACGAGTAGTATGTTCATTTTTTATGAATTATATAGTGGGTTACGTCGTTTAAGTTATTATAGAATCATAAATAAAATTTAGTATCGTTTATATTTTCACTTATGGTACAATATAAAATTTGCGTATGCTTACATATACATATACAGCTAGATTCTAAAAAAACTGAGACTAAGGTCTAAATTTTGATATTATTTTGAATTCCTGCATTTTATTCCTGCAAGCGTATATAAATTATTCTGCACATATGCATATTCTATTACTTCTATTTTTATGACACGATCGGTCGGTGAAGTACGGATGAATTCTTAAGTTGTAAACACCTTTTACAAAATAAAACGGGAAAATTGCAGTAGTTGGCTGCATCCCATAGTTTAAAAAAACTTACAAAGAAGTAAAGTTCAAAATGTTTTCGGTCCAGTCAGACCATCATCAGTAAAAAATCATTTAAAGTAGTTAACTATGTAAAATAGCGGAGTATTTGCCGCTATATTATCTTGGCGGAGTATTTGCCGCCCTTTTCGGCTCTTTAATTCATTTATTGCGGAGAATCAGTCAGCTGTTGTTTTTTATTATTATAGTAGCGTGTGTGACTAGGCCCTGTCTACAATTTTCCTCCATTCTTTGCGGTCCTTACAGTGCTCCTTCCAATTGTAGATTCTCAGCTTCTTTATGTCTCCTAAGACTTTAATCCCTCCATCTTGTTTTGGGTCTCCCCTTTGGTCTCTTTATTGTTGGTCTCCATCCACTTATTCGCTTTAGCGTAGAGTCTGGGTTAGCTCTTTCTGTATGTCCCATCCACCTGAGCCTTTGCGTCTTCACGAACTTGATTATGTCTTCACTCTCGATGACTTCTTTAATTTCTTCATTGGTTAATCTTTTAAATTCGCCTACACTTATCCTCACCGGTCCCATTGTTCGTCGAATTATCTTTCTCTCTAAGAGTTCCAACCTCATTTCCTCTTTTTGTGCTAGACATATCGTCTCTGCACCATAGGTGATCACTGGCCTGATTGCAGTCTTGTAAATTTTTAATTTGGTTTTCTTACAAATGTACTTTTCTTTCAGGAATTTTTAGTAGTTCCAGTAGGTTTTATTACCCCATTAGTATTAACCCAGTAGGATGCGTTCATTTATTTCATCCGTTCTATCATTTCTATCATTCACCATCACTCCCAGGTATTTGAAACGGTGTACTCTTTCAAATGTATATGCACCAAGCTTAATTTCTTTCTCTATGTTCGTATTCTCTCTTGAACACTTGAGGTATTCCGTTTTGATTTGGTTTATTACTAGCCCTCTCTTCTTTGCTTCTTTATCTAGTATTAATATTATGTTCTGCATGGTTTTTAAATCTCTAGTAACTAGTGCAATATCCACAAGGAATCTACGTTCCTGTAGTTGGCTGTATACCATGTATTAAAAATTTAATTAAAAATCCTTTGTAATAGGTATATATTTTAGGCCCAAACGGGCTAAGTTAAAAAGACAAAACGTTTTCGGAAACCATGTTCCATCATCAGTGTCCTAGAAAATAGTTAACCACTTAATTAAAAAGAACATAGGTTAAAATTTTGACTAAGGTTAATGAAAAATGTGATTAATACTTACTAGGAGTACATGAATGTAGCCACCTTGGTGGTTAGGGCCTAAAATATATACCTATTACAAAGGATTTTTAATTAAATTTTTAGTGCAATATCGTCTGCATACGCTATCAGTTATGCTAAAGATTCGATAATCGTTCCCATAATTATGGCTGCTCTTACTGCCCCCTCTATGGCAATGTTAAATAATGTTGTTGACAGGGAGTCTCCCTGTCTGACACCTACCTCCATTTGTACTTTATCTGACGGGGCTTCCCTTGTTAAGATTCGTGCCTTGGATTCCTTCATCGTCATTTTCGTGAGACTTATTAGTTTTTCTTAGATGCCTAATTTATTCATATCCTTAATAAGCTCCTCCCTTATTACACTGTCAAAAGCTAGCTTGAAGTCAATAAACAGTATATGTAGATCTATTGCGTCTAGATCTATTATTAAGCAGAATAAGTAAGACGTTCTTTACATTAACATTATTTTCAATCGCTAGAAGATATTCTCCAAAGTTGATACCGTTTAAGGGATCAAAAAATATTGCTTGCCTTTTCAGCCTTTTACTTGTTCAGTGGGAGTGGTTGAATAGGTGTAAGGTTTGTTGGTGTTGGTATTATTAATGCTGTTGGAACTCATTCGTTAGACAGTTTTCTTTTCAAAAAGGTTTAACTAATTAATTGGTTTATAAGTAATTAACAAGGTTTAATACACACTTTGTTTATGCATAAACAAAATAAAATTATATAAAAAGACTTATGTATCAGTAATATTTCGGATGTGATTTAATACTTCTCAGTGCTAACCACTGATTCAATAAACTTGGGGCTGAATAAGATATATGTTTACCGCACTCTAGCCTCCTGTGTTTCTATTTTATATAGATCAACCGAATTTTAACTTATACATTTTCTAAATATTTGACGGTCCTATTTTATTTATCTTTTACTTTTATCAGATCGTTTTAGACTGTCTTAATGGCTTCTTCTACCCGAAAGTTATCTAAGTGGCCCATCTTATTACATTTTGCGCCATTTTTTCAACGTCCTCTAAAGGTAGACTTTAAATAGCACGGGATGGATGCTATTAGTCTTGTCTTAATCGACAGTTAGTAAAAAGTCATTTTAAATGTCACTTGGATTTAATAAATCTATGAATTACGAAATGAGCACATTAGATGTAAAGAGTGAATTATTTGCATATTTAAATTTAAAAAACTAAGTTGGATTATAATTATTGTAAACATTTCCTTAAAAATATAAAATAATAGTTAGAAAATCCTATTATACAAAAAGTTTTTTATCATTATATTAAGCTGTGAAAATTATTACTTACAAATTAAGCTATGCGAAGAGAGAATATAAAACACACAGTTTGGATTCATGAAAGGCGTAGGTAAGAGAGATGCATTGTTTAGTCTACTTGTATTATTCCAAATATGCAGAGATATGATATCCACCTACCTGCTTTGTGGATTACCGAAAAGCATTTGACACAGTTTAACAGAAAAATGATGGATGTTTCAACAAAAGCCCAAATAGATGATAAAGACGTATTATACACAATTTATACTGGAACCAATCAGCCACAATTAGATCCAGATTATGTGAGGCGTTAGACAAGGATGTATACTTTCACCTATATTATTCAACCTATATTCAGAGGAAATATTTAGTGAAGCCTTGGAAAATTGCGAACAGGGACTCCTTTTAAATGGACACGCCTAAACAACATCCGCTATGCAGATGACACCTTTATTTTTGCAGACAGTTTAAACAGTTTACAGTAACTAATAAACAACGTAAATGAAGAAAGTGAAAGATTTGGACTACAAGTAAACATATCAAAAACTAAATTTATGGTCATCATCAAAAATAAAATTAGGGACGTCCAACTGCTTATCAAGAATACACCAGTGGACCGAGTAAAATAGTTTACATATCTTGGAACAATGGTAAAGGAATAATAAAATCACTTACAAGACTGTACAAGAAGAAAATGTAAAATGGAGAAGGCTAGAGGAGTGCATTCAACAACATATTCAAACTCTTTAAAAGCCACAACCTTAATCTGGAGATAAAAGTAATGCTCCTACAGTGTTATATCTTTTCGATATTATACTACGGAGTCAAATGCTAGACATTCACTGAAGCGATGTCGGGGACGAAGAATGGGAAAAGAAAGAGAGGTGATGTATACCATTAAAAGGAGAAAGTTACAATATCTAGGACATAAAGTAAGAAACGGCACTTAAGTCAGAAACAAGTATGAGGCATTTGTTGGCCTTTATGCCTTTAGATACTCCTAGTATCCGAGACTAGCTCTCGTGGGACTACTCTGCTTTCACTCTACGTAAACAAAGTGAGGTTGAACGAGCTGCAAACTTAACACGTCCTCTCTCCATTGAAAAACTAAGTTTGCATCACATAACCACTATTTGGATGACTGGTAGAGGAGTAGACACCTAGGAGGCTACCTATCTAGGTACGAGGTCGAAACCTTACTGCTACCTGCGTTCACCTTTCCACCCTGTTGTAGGAATAACGGACGGGTGTTCGTGTAGCAACCCAGAAACAACGGGGAAGGTGAAGCCCCACGATGCTTCATGCAACGTGCCACCCTTAAATGGTGTCGGACTCGTAGGAGAAATTTATTAAACAAATATAATCCAAAGCATCAGTAGGTACTCAGTTTTTTTGGTGGTTATTCGACAAACAATTTGGAGTTTATCATGAGAATAAAAAATATTATAAACAAACTCTGCTATAGTCTACGAACCTCGTCATCATAACTGTGTTGTCTAGCTACTCTCGAGGCCCTTCTAGAACGGGGTGCTACTGGTCCTACTGCGGGAATTTCTCTGGGTGGGCTGTTTTGTCGACTGCAGGCAGCACTTCGACCGGATCGGTTTCTAGTCCAGTCTGGATCGGGAGTTTTAGCACCTGTACCTTTAAGCTGTAAAAGATTAAAAGCTTTAGTTGATATTTCTAGAATTTAATAATAAAATGCAATATGTTTCATATATCCATACTTCTTTATTTGAAAAACCTCGACATAGTTAATAAATAAAAAAAGAAATCAACACCCGACATCAAAAATCTTGTAAATTACTTTATTTTATACGATACATACAGTATGTTTCATCGGTAAATGTTCATACGTAAAAAGCACTAAGATCATCTTAATAATATATGTTTCACTTAAAAAGGACAATTAACTAACCTGTTTATCTTTACCGAAAAAAAAAATAACAGATTTGTTAACTTGAGATTTAACACCCTGTATATCAGAATTTTTAAATTTGGTTTTAAAATTTGAAAATAGCGAAACATTTTGAACGTAATTATTTATTAATTTTTTGGTTATCCTGCATGTCAATCTAATACAAAAATATTATTTGAATAATACAAAAAACCCTACTTATAAATAATTATTTTTACGTTTTTTTTTGTATTTATTTGTACTTGTCGAAAAAAAAATCTATAACATACAATAATAGTTTTCATTTAAAAAAGTGTCGATTTAACACAAAGTACATATTTTAAATTAAAGTTATTTTTTAATGCGATTTTATCTATAAAGATAAAATTTATAAATGGAAAGAAAACGAAATTAATAGCAGTCATTTATTTTTCTTGGAAGAACCATTTAATTTAAATACAAATTTATTGTACTCCTATAATTTACTTTGTAACTGGAGCGACAGTTGTTACACAGATCTTTATTTTATAATGTATAATAACGGCGAAAACAAAAACCTCAAACAAAGAGTATATAAAACATCAAAGAGAACTTTAAATGGAAATGCTTTAAAGCTAGTTTTTCTACAATGACGATCAAAGGAAACAATTATAGTATGTTTATAGAAATAAAGTAACATCTAAAAGGACTTTAACAGTTTAAAAATAAACAATTGATTTACTATACCAATCTAATCACATAAGGTAGATTCGGGTAACATTGACATATATTCACAAAATATCTTCTCGCATATGGACTGACTAAGCTTAAAAATTTGAAATTACGTTTATTGTAGGTTGCTATATTTAAAGTAAATCATAAGCAAGTTTTTTTATAAGTTTCAAAATATTGATACCTTTCTTTAATTTTTGTAAATGTTATATATCAATATTACCCACACCCTTAAAAATGATTGACAGCCCATATTAGGTCGAGTAACATTGACATACGGTAAGTTAATTATGTACAGGTTTTCGTTCACAAAATTTATTTAAAACCTTAAAATTGCTAAAATAACAAGAATTGAAGGTAACAAATAGTTATCGCTTCTTTTGTATTAGAAAACGCAAATCTAAATAAAGGCGTGCATCCCACGGCAAGTTGTATGATTTGGCAAATCCCTTACTACATATTTAAGCAAAACTGTGGCTTAGTTAGCAACAGTAAAAAATACAAAACTTCTCTTTCTTTCTCAGGAAAGTCATTGCTACTTCAATACTTTTGGAAATAATTTCTGTTATTTTTCAATGTAATGATGGATTTCATTCCTACCCTTATCAAATATAAATTTTACCAAAACCTATTTTGGTAGAATCGTGTTCTTCCGTTTTTGCCACTGTATTGGAAATGCCATTTTTATCTTTCAACAGAATCGCACCTAAGTTTGAATCGTCATCCATTCGTAAACTTAACATCGCTCTCAGAATTAGATTATTTTTTCCTTTTTCGCCTTTTATTGGTTTCTTCTTTTATGGCTTTCTAAGAGAATTCTTTTTAAAAACCTCAGCGATAGTAAGACCTTCAGCAAATTATCTTCGAACTCTTTTCCGTTTCAGTTTTATTGGTCTTTTTTCTTGCCTCTTTAATGAGGATAATAGGAGTTAAAAGGTTTTTTCGGTGTCACGTCTTTCTGTATTGTAGTTAGACGTACTAGTAGAAGTTACATCATCTGGCTCAAAGTCCCTATTAACCTGAAGTTCTAACTTTTCTGGAAAACTTGAAGCATCACTTGAACAACTCTTGTTGTAGATCTAAAGTGGACGTGTGTGCAGATCATTCTCCATATTTTTTTAATATCTTATTCTCATTTAAAAGATAAATACCTGACCCTACAAATTTGCCAATTGCATTTTCCTAGAGAAGCATCCCGTCTCGACCAAGATTTTAAGCAATGAAGAAAAGTAATTTTCGCATCCCGCAGCACGATAACAATAGTTTAACACATTGCACACGATAGCTTCACGCTTTTAAGCACTGCCATACCTAAGGGTTGCAAAGCATGACATGTGTAGGTTGATAAACACAAACGTTCAATATTATTGGCACAAACCATTTAGATCAAAGGATTATGATCGAAGGGCGGAATTTTGCGAAATGATGAAGGATCGATGTTGTAATGAAACACAATTTGTAGAACATTTAGTGCTTTGAGATGAAGCAACATCGACCTTAAATGTCACTGTTAAAGGCAAAACACTGTTATTGAATAATGGGGACGCATACAAAATATCCAAAAAAGTTAATGTTTCTACAGGAATTGTTGGCAATATTATTTTGGGGCCATTTTTTATTCAGTGAACGTTGACTGCGGAAAAATATTTAGAAATGCTTCAAAACGATATTTTTTTCTGCAATCACCGCGCTATATCCAATTATGCCTAGTAATTTGATATGGTTTCGACAGGATGGCGCATCAGCCCATTATGTGATGATAGTGCGTGATTATTTAAATACTGTTTTTCCCAACAGATGGATATGTAGGCGAGGAAGTTTAGCCTTCCCTTTATTTCTCCCTTTATTTTTTACTTTTGAGGTTATCTTAAGTCTAAAGTATACATACATAGATCAGGGAATATTAAATAATCAAAATAAACAATTTAAAATAAGGTAAGACTTATCCTCCCAGAAACATTAAATAGAGATTTAGAAGAATTTCAATGCCGCCTTGGTTATTGTCGGAAAGTAAACGGCATGCAGTTTTAACATTTAATTTAAATTTAAGATGTATGTATTATTCAAAATAAAAAAAAATGGAAACGACATTGTATCAAAATTGTAATAAAATTGTAATAAAAATTTCTCTCTAATTCACGATCTGATCATTTTAGACTATGTGTCTTATATTTTGAAAACGTTTTTTAAATTAAGAAAAGAAACAATAATATTATCGTTCCATTAGAAAAAAAATCAATGACGTCATGTACAAGAAAAGAGTGACGTCATCAGTATGTCAAATTATATAAGCCGATGCGCAATGCAAAATATAAATCGACCTGTCCGAGGATTTCGTTAAAATATTGTTTCATTTTTTTAGTTAAAAAAATATTCTTCTTCTTGTGGTGCTTATCCGTTACGGATTTGGCTACAAGCATGATAATTCTAACTTTATTGACCGCAGCTCGAAATAGTCCTGAAGTGGTCAAGGTACACCATTTTCGTAAGTTCTGGAACCAAGATATTCTTCTTCTTCTTGGTCCCCTCTTTCCCTAGACTTTTCCCTGTAATATAAGTTGCAGTAGGTTATATCTATGGTTGTTTCGCATTGTGGATATAATTTCACATGTTTTATCCATCCGACGTAGAACCTTAATGTTTGTTATTCGGTAAACCCAGGAGATCCTCATTATCCGTCCATAACACCACATCTCAAACGCCCCGAGTTTTCCCATGGATGCCTCGGTTAGTGTCCATGATTCAACCCTATAGAGCAGCACTGTACTGCACTAAAGAAAATAAGTACAAGGTTAACAGACTTTATGCAATAATTAAGACCGCGAAATAAAACAATGTTTGGTAATAATAAATAGCAAGCTGAAAAAATATCTTAATAGTTATACTTTAAATATAGTTCCATTTAAAATTTAAATTGTTATATTTATATGTATTTGAGACAAAAACTTATTACGCAATTACTTAATCCATCCCGTTTCGGTAGCAGTTGGTTCCCAGAGGTTTTGCCACTGCTACCACCTCAACCTCAAAATTACCTTTTTATTTAGTAAAAAGGAAAGTCCCTGTTGGTTTTAAATAAATTGCCAACGATTTAAAGGCTCTTTGTAGCTCAAATTAAATTGTTCCGTGCCTCTATTCGACCACAAACACCGTTTATCGATTTTTAATGTTTAGTGTCGCTACATTGTGTTGTGTTTTGTATCAAAATAAAACACCTTTATTTTAATGATTATTATAAAAAAACACACATCGAAATAATCTAGGGGACAAAAACAAAATGCGAGATTATAGAAGGATTTAAAATAATTTATTTAAAATATTTTTAATAAAACGTTATAAAAAAGTGTCCCGAATATAAAATGAACATTTTTTCTTAGAATTAGCACAATAGCTCTTAAGATAATTAAAACAGAATTTCAAAAGTCAAAAAATTTGAACAAAAAAAAAGATAACCTAATTTGTTGCACCTCAACTCCCAACAAAGTAGACTTTAGGTTAAGTTTGTTACAGATTTCAACATCATCAGATGAATTGTTGATTTACCACCTCTGAAACCAGCCTGGTATTGTCCTATTATTCGCTTTGCATACGGTGTCATACCATGGAATAGTATATTGGAGAATATTTTATACGCTGCATTTAGGAGCGTAATTCCTCGATAGTTAGAGCATTCAAAGATATCTCCCTTTTTGTGTATGGTGCAAAGTATTCCAATATTCCAATCACTGGGAAGGGACTTCTGTATCCATATTTCTTTTATAAGCTGCTGTAGCGCTATTATGATATCGTGGCCACCTTCTATATATAATTCCGATTATCTATTCCGGGTGATTTGTTTCTGGCTAGTTTGTTTACAGAGTCTTTAAGTTCCAGGATCGTTGGTGGATTCTCCTCCCTCTCGTCTGTTCCGCTTACCTTACAGCTTTCGTCTTCCGGGTTTTCTTCTTCTTCCTCTATATTAAGTACCTGGTTTAAAATATTCCGTCCATCGATTGAGTACGTCTGTTCTTGTTGTTAATAGATCGCCATTCAAACGTCTACAT